AAGTTGCGTTTGATATGTATAATAATTTAACATTCCATTTCTAAAAAATCCAATCTCTAAGTATTATATATTTTCAAAATATTACGTTGTCATACTTTGTATAGTGTGAATGTATCATATTGTATATATTAAAAAAAATTTAAGAATATAATTTTATGATCATCTGGCGATTAAACTGCATAGAAGGGTATTTTCTGTATTTTGCAACATTTAAGTCCTAAATGAGTGCTTTTACAGGGTAGAAATCCTCTATATCTTTGGGTTGTAGAGAACTTCTACAATTGGTTATGTGGATTAATAGCATTTGCTTATTCAGTGAGTCTCTTCATTTAAAATTTTTTATGAAATTTATATAATGAATATTGTTTATGGAGTTTACTGGATGAGAAACTGTGATTAGTGAGTCGTAGAGCTTCTATACAAACAAAAATGTAGAGGATCTCTACACACTTTTATAAAAGTATAAGTTGAGCAACAAAAGAATAGTCAATTTAAGCACGATAGTACGAAAAAAATACAACATATCTAAATAATTTAATCATGACCAGAAGCTTGGTCAAGCAAAAAGAACCTATGCACTACTAGTTGGCCTTTAATTAGGTCACTAAAAGAAATTCTAAAGAGACTTAGCTCATCAATGGCATCACTGTAGTTGTCGTGACTTACAAAACTTTAATAATTACGAATAAAATATTATTGGACGTACCGAGGACTTAAAAAGGAAAAATAAAGTAGGCTCCAAGCGAACAACGAGAATCAAACATACAAACAACAATCAAATAAAAATTGCAAACGATACCTGACACTTTCCTCTGATCGAAACTTTTAATCCAATTTATTTGTGTGCATTATACACGAGTATATTAAGCTATTTTAGAGGAAGCGGGGTACAGGCTGTCTATATTTTATAACAAGTAATTGTTGTCCATTGATTTGCATATGGATGCTACAAAAGATTATGAGAGGGATTAATCATAAGAAAAAGGAAAAATTGCTTCAAGGCCCCAAAAAACAAAATGTGATATGCCCAAGCCCCATGTATTATTCTTATTGTATATTAGCCCCATTATACTTCCCAAGATGTGTTCCAGCTCATGTTTACATTTTCCAAGAAAAAAAACCAAAAAAACCCAAACTAACCCCTTTCCCTAGAGACCACAACTCAATCCTCACTCTCCGCATCACCTCCCGATCCACCATCTTCATCTCCGACCGCTCCCTCGCCCACCGTGCCCACCAGCGAGCCCAACCGCGTCGGATCCTTTTGGGCATCCTTCCCCGCCCCCGCCACCATCAGCCTCATCTCAGCCGATGGCCGCGTGAACCTCTTCGACCGTTCGATTCCGGCGTCCCGCCGCATGGAGCAGCACCCCCTCCACCTCATTTGCCGCTCCGACTCCCCCTTCCTTGGCCGCAAAGTCCCCGCCATCAAATGGGTTGGATCAGGGAGATGAAGTGGGTGAGGGTCTTGGATGTTTCCTCAAATGGGTTCGATGGGTTCGTTTCTGATTCGATCGAGGGGTTGAAGTTCCTACGGAGGTTGATTTTTTCTAGAAATGGGTTTGTTGGCGGCTTGCCTGAATCAATGAGTTTCAATGAGGAGGTGTAAATATGAGTATGGGTGGCTATATGTTTAATGAAATGGCTCAAAAAACTCAATTTTTTGCTGTAATATGGAGTTTGGACATGTACTGTGACTTTGTTTTGATAATGTAATATTTCCCGAGTAAATCATGTGCGTCTCTAACACTCTGTTTACACTTGCAGACAATTAGCTATATGGCGAGTGAATTTATCTACTATCCAACTCAATGAAGAAAATGGTGATGAGGATGAAGTCAAAGGACGGTAGACGAGGCTTATCGGGTTATTGGGTTTCGGATCTGTGTCAGATGGTATATCGGACTCGGAGATGGCCGGTAGCAGGATAGTTGGAGGGATGAGGAGGGGCAAAGGGAAGAGAGGCGGCGGCGGAGGCGGATGTGATACACTTTTGTAACGAACCGATCGCCACAACTGAGCAACTTGCAACGAACCGATCGCCGATTGATATGAGTTGCGGATGTGAAACACTTTTGTATGTATGAACTGAAATACTTTTGGGTGTATGTAATAGCTAAATACTTTTGTATGTATACAGTAGCTGTGTATATGAACTGGAATACTTTTGTAGGGATGTGAACTATAATGCAAATATGATATAAAATTGATGCACAAATTTGTCCTATTAAATATTGAAATACTTGTATATATCATTAACTATTGAAATACTTTTGTTAGCTTGTTAAGTTACTCTGTTAGATTGTTAAGTTACACAAGTAACATGTTAACTTTTCTTGGTAGCTTGTTAAGTTACACAAATAACATGTTAACTTTCGCAGGTAGATTGTTAAATTACACATGTAACATGTTTAACTTTCGCAGTTAGATTGTAAGTTACACAGATAACTTTGTTAACTTTCTTTGTTAACTTGTTAAGTTACACATGTAACATGTTAACTTCGCAAGTTAGATTGTTAAGTTACACGATAACTTGTTAATTTCTTGTTAACTGTTAATTTACCACAGCTAACATGTTAACTTTATTTGTTCGCTTCGTTAAGCTACTCAGAAACATAAGTGTATGCCCACCTAAGAAAAATGTGATGTTGAGGATTTATATATGTCAATATCTGTGTATAATTTGTCCTATTAACTATTTCAATTACTTACATATGTCATGTAACTATGAAATTACTTTGTTAGCATGTGTATATTCGTCATTAACGTTTATAACACAGCTATTGACATATATAACTATTGAAATACTTATTTATGTCATCAGCTGTGTATATTCGTCCTCAACGAATATACATAAATAAGTATTTCAATAGTTAGCATGATAATTAGTTGGCTTGGAATTGGCATGCGTTTTAGAAGAGAAGAAGAAGAATTAGCACCTATTCACACTTGAAAACGTCAACAATCAAGAATTTAGTAGTCAACAACCAAGACCCTCACCCACTTCATCTCCTCGATCCCAACCCATTTGAGGGAGGTGGGGTTAGAGAAGCATGTTACAAATTAACATGATATGTTACACCTTATGGATAGCACGTTACAAATTATAGTTAACATGTTGGATTTTACATTTAACATGCGTTCATATTATAGTTAACATGTAAGCTGTGATAGTTATCAGTTTATATATAATAGTTAACATCTTAACTACAATAGTTAACATATTAACTACAATAGTTAACATGTTAACAATAATTGTTAACATGTTAACTACAATAGTTAACATGTTAACTACAAAGGTTAACATGTTAACTACAACGGTTTACATGAAACAGGTAAATGTTCACAGTCAATCAGCTATAGTTTACATGTATTAAGTAAAACATAACAGTCAATGTACTAAACTTAACATTTAAAAGAAAAACAAGGATCTTGAATGAAAATGTTCTGCCATTTACTGATCAACTAAAAGACTCATATATGAGCGAATAATTAAAAATAGATTTGTATATTCATAATCTCCACATCCATATATGAACATATAACCCCAACATTCCTTGTACTTGATCTCCAAATAACAAAAGTATTCCAAGCCACAATCCCCATGCCTCCATTCTACATACATGAAGTGCTTCCTCCCGCATCACTTGCTTAATCCTTTGCAGTTAAAACAATAAAGACTTTCCAGTCAAATGAATCAAAAGGATAAGCATAAATGAATTTTATAGTTATCAACCTTCTCATCGGTATAAAGTTGAAACTGAAGCTTTCTGATTCTGATGCTGATGCTTCTGCAACTGGCAACCGCCGAAAATGAAAATGCATAGAATTGCTGCAGCCACTCCAACAGAACAGAAGGCTCCAACACTGCCAATAACTCTCCATCGCTAATAAGCCTGCACTCCTTCTCCAGCTCCTCGCTATCGCAAACCCTCAACCTCCTCTTCTCCTCCTCCAGCATTCCTCCTCTCGTGTTAAAGAGCTTCCTCCTGCTCACATTGCCATCACCCGCGAGCACGCACCTCATCCTTCACCCTCACCCTCACCATCCTATTCTTCGTCTTCTCGTTGTCGAAGCTCCTGACGAAAGAGGAGGAGGAGACGACGATGACGAAGGAGAGGACGGAGTGGAGGAAGTGGGAGGGGAGGATGAAGTAGGCGTGGCCCGACTGGAGCCTGTCTGAAGCGGAGAGGGCGAGGACTTTGCGGCCGAGGAAGGGGGAGTCGGAGCGGCAGATGAGGTGGATGGGGTGCTGCTCCATGCGGCGGGACATCGAGATCGGACGATCAAAGAGGTTCACGCGGGCCGTCGGGCTGATGGTGGCAGGAGGCGGGGAAGGATGCCTAAAAGGACCCGACGCGATTGGGCTCGCTGGTGGGGAGACGGTCGGATAAGTGGGCCCATGGTGGACGAGGGCACGGTGGGCGAGGGAGCGGTCGGAGATGAAGATGGTGGGCCGGGAGGTGATGCGGAGAGTGAGGATTGAGTTGTGGGCTCTAGGGAAAAAAAGATTGGCAGAGAAGGAGAAGAAGAAGAAGAAGAAGAGGGGAGGGGTAGTTTGGGTTTTTTTGGTTTTTTTTCTTGGGAAATGTAAACATGAGCTGGAACACATCTTGGGAAGTATAATGGGGCTAATACACATTAGGAATAATACATAGGGCTTGGGCATATCACATTTTGTTTTTTGGGGCCTTGAAACAATTTTTTCTAAGAAAAAACTGCTACATCCTTACCCCCCAAAACAAATAAAAAAATAGTATTAATAAATAAATAAATAAATAAATAAAATAAAAACATTATAAAAATGAAACACTTGACATGATATAGAAACCTGCCACTTTTTAGCAAACTTTACTGCAGGTTAAATTTCAGAAATCCAACCCGATAAGCAAAATGAGCCACAACCCAGACTTTTCCGGTTGAAAAATGACAATTTTATTTTCAATATAAGGTTCTCTACAAAATTTTTGAAATGCAAACCATAAACATAAAATGAGCTCTACCTACAAACTACCAGAGTAGGTGATACTAGACAGTGTCCAATGCTCTTCATGTGTGAAGATACCTGAAAATGCACCAAATAAAATCATGGTAAATCTCAAGAAAATTTTGAGAGAACGCAATGGCTAAGATAATAGACAAAAAGAGAATAGGATGTTCCTTAATCAAACAGCTGGCTTTGCACTTACCAGGAAAAGCACTGAGCAAGTTGACAACAGTTAGCATAAGAAACCAAGGTTTGTATATAGTCTCAAAGATTCTAAAAGCAAAAGTTCCATGTGAACACATGTTCTGGATATTTTATTATTCATTTCAACTTGATGATATTCCCTTCAACAATATTTCAAATCAGAATTCCTATAAATAAATACAAAATTTCAAATCAGAATCCATGATCTCGGAGACAACACTGTCAATCATACACAAGGCGGGAAAGAGGAAACGAGAAAAGGCAATATACAATAAACTTTGGGTAAATTTCACTTAAACCCCAGAGCGTTGAGGATTTGCACAGAACCCTGGGAACTTTGTTTATTCCACTTAACCCCATAAACTATGAAGTTTTGGAAAAACCCTCCCGACATCATTATCTATAACGGTCAAATGACCAAAATGCCCTTTCTGAAATATTACCCGCAAAAATGAAAAATATAAAGGGGGTAATTCTTAATAAACTAAGGGGTAGTTTAGTCCTTTATTGTCATGTGTTTGACGCATGATCCATCAAAGTTCACAGTGTTAGGAGGGCTGGGGATGAGGGAATGCTAAATGAGAAATTTTCAGGGGGTTAAGTGGAACAAACAAAATTTTAGGGGGCTATGTCCAAAACCCCAAAGTTCTGGCGGGGTTTAAGTGAAATTTACCCTTATACTTTAGGTTTGCTAAGAATTACCTTTATTAGTTTCTTCTCTGGATCCTTTGTGGTTGTTGAAGGTGTGCTGAGGAACTTCTGACACATACGAGCATCTTGGAAACCGAGAAGGTTGTATCTCAATAATTCCATTCTATCAGATTTTGTCATCTGAGCAAACCCAAAGGATCCAGTCCATGTGTTTAGAAGCTCGGAAACTGCTGGCAAGACTAACTTTTTTACCCCTAATGCAGAAAGCAGCTGCAAACCAAATTCATATCCATTTATGAGAGAAATGATGACAATACAGAAGTTATGCACCTAGACACCTCAACAGGCATTAATGCATACATAAACACCAAATGCATATATGCATGAGGACGGACGTAATTGCTAACTTCAACCATCTACACATGTTTAAGGAATTAGATGGGGAAAACCGAGCAAAGATGCACAAACATATTTTAAAGGGAGATAAGAACTATGATTATATCATTTTTATGGTTCGTTTGATCACATATAGGTTATACAAGCTTAAAGAGAGCCTCTTCAGTGTTAATGAGAAGAGGATGGCTGAATGCTTGAGTAACAGATGGAGATCAAGTTGTTCACTAGGATGAATATAGCAATTGGAACATGCAACATCAATGAAGCCAAAAAACCATGATATAAATTGGAAGTAACTGTTACTATGTTCATGGTAGAAATGGTTGTTCTGCTTGGATAGTGGATATCTAGGCTTTTTAAAGTAATCGATTAAACTCAAATGGATATGTATATCAATCATTCTCTAATTATGGACTAACATGATAAGCACTTATTGGTAATTTGTTGGTTGTATTACCTTTTCTAGCTCACCCACAAGAAGGCGACACATTCCCTGGTGGCGAAACTGAAAACGAGTTCCAATAAAAGGCATTTCTGCAACATTTTCACCGTAGACCCTAATCGACCATTGGAAGAGGGAGGACAATATTGTAATTCCTGGATATAGTTTTGAAAGAACAAGCATATAATAACTAGAAAGGTTTCACAGAATATCTTATTGTTGCAGTACCTGAATGTGGCGACAGATATAAGTTCATCTCCCTTCTCCAAAATGATAGTGTAAATACCCTGAAAGTTCAATCGACGTAGTTCTGACCTGCGTGAGACCATAATAAAAAATTTCTCATCAATCATCAAAAGACATTGCATAGATATCTATCACGTTTGAAGGATGTCTAAGAAGAGGCAAATAACAAGAAATATCAGTAACAGACTGATTGCTTAAGAAAACTCAGAAATAATCAGAGAACGAACAAGCTAAGGCTGGAAACCTTAAAGTTTCCTCCTCTTTGAAGTCTTTTCATATTTTCCACATTGGTCAGATTCATAATAAAATGTTTTCTTAATTAAAGATGACCACAACACATACTCTATATTTTTTTTTTCTTGTATTAAAAGTATGTCAAACTCTTTAAGAATGCTTCTCTAAGAACAAATACTTCTCCGGGACATTCTATCTTATTTAGTGGTACAACTTTTCATTTTCACATAACTTCTCATCAGATATTTACAAGTGGACCCTGCTACTACACCAAAACCCTAAATTATGGTGAGGGTTGAACGTTATAATTTTGTACTCTAACACGCCCCCGGGGTTGAGCGCCCTTTCTATGGACAGAAATCTGAAATCATGGAGCTGTATCAATTATTTTACAATCTGCTTTAAATTCATGACCGGTGGGAATTGAACCTAGGTTGCTTTGTAAAATTTCAAAGAACCTACCACTACTCCAAAACTCCGAAGTTATGGTGAGGTTTGAGGGTCATAATTTTGTCCTCTAACAACATGAAAACTTAATTGTTGGATGTATGTTTATAAAAGAGCGGAAAATTTTCTTCCATCTATATTTCATGGTCTCACGGGGCTAAATTTCCTTTTGAGTTGTTGGCTTTTGAAGCCTCGCATTTAGTCCACATTCAGAAAACCAGTAAGTTGGTTGCAAGTATATGTTGAGACTCCCCTACTATGTAAAGGGGATCTTTGGACCAAATGTCAAGACATATACACCAGACACCCAGCATGTCTATGGCGTGATGCACGCAGAGACCTCCAAAATTTTTATTTTCTTTTCGCTCGTTAAATTTAACTTCGGTTTTGATTGAGAAAATAAATCATGGTCCTAAACTTGTGACTAAACTCAACGTTTGTAATGTTAATATGTTAATGCCGTCTGTAATCCAAAGTCTGGAGTGTGGAGCCTAAAAGTACAAAATAACAATCACCAGCCATTCTCCAGACACAATCTCTTTACCACTAGGAAACAAATTGTCCAGACTGCCTGCATGAAGACAGCACCTGTCTTTGTAGACACTGTACACACAACCAATCCCTTACAGAAAAAGGAGATTAACTACTTTTGGCATTATTTACCACAATAATATCAGTAACTACGTTGCATCGATACAGGTCCGGCTGCTAACACGGACATGGGTGCAGATATGGAACACAATAAACTTGTAAAAGGTAGGGTACATCAACAGGACTATATATATACACATGGAAATTAGTAATATATATGAGATTGATATTGTTTTATCATTCACATCTTATGAGAACTAAAATCCTTATAAGTCTATAACACTTATGTCGATTTTAATGAGTAGATAATAAATTGAAAATGTCTCGTTTTCAAACTAGATATCCAAACGATCCTTTAGAATCATACTTATGAATTGGATATGGACTGAAACAAACCTCACCAAAGTCCAACAAGCTGCAAATTTTGAGGTTGAGTGTAAGATATAAATTTGAGGTTAAGTGCAAGATTTACATCTAAGAAGTGTACTGTGTGTGTTTTAAACTAAAGCATGTATTATCAAATTGAGCATGCATCTGAATACATGTATGCATACATTCCAGAAGTGCCCAAGCAGCGTCGGACATGGACACAGATACGGGTCGTGTTGAACACAGATACAGGAGCCACTATTAAGTATCTGGGTAACTTTGATCAGAAAATCTTGATTTTCAAATTCTATGCATAACAATTCATATTGAGAAAGATTTTCCCAGAATCACGACTTTCATGAACAGACACAACACAACATAAGACATCAACACATGAAAAATTATAGAATGCAATGCTATGGAATAACATAAACATTGCATGAGTCTCATACATGTCTGACATACATGGCTTCATAATAGACATTATATGCAAGTAGACTTTTTGTCATGGAAACTGTGCATTATATCTCGCCATGTTCTTTATTTCCATCCACCCATCTCTTATCATAAACACCATGAACTATAATGGATGCTAATTGTTAATATCCATATTCACTAATATGCATCTGGCACACATGGCTTCATAACATTTTGTAATGGAAACTGCATTACATCTTACCATGTTCTCTATTTCCATCTCTGATCATAAACACCATGAAGCATAATGGATGCTAATCGTTAATATACATATCCACTTAAGGGAATGAAGATCTTAATCAGATTTGGATGCCTCAGATATCTGTTTACACCCCTAAGTGATATGCCCAACTGCTTTAATAATTATCGAGTACATTTGATTTTATGCAACTACTAGAATGTCAATATTTTCTTCTTGTCCTCTGATTTACAACTTCAACAAAAGTGAGGACAGAAATATTGACACACTCTAACTTGATATCCTAATGGTTTGTTTTGCTTAAGCACCAGTTGTTTAAAATATATGCCATCACTTTAAGAAAAACTATTTGTTACACTAAAATGTTAGATTAATTTTTAGGAAAATGATATAGTGTTCCTGATAGATTACTGCTCCTCTGGGCAGGAAAATCTTTAATGTTGATTGAAAAAGAGAGTGTTACTCCTCACAAGGTGGAGGATTCAACTAAAAAAATGTAATGATTAGCATACAACTCAAGTAGATGGTAACATTTTATAAATAAGGATGCTATACTGCTAGAGGAAGTACTCTCTATACACTGGTTTAATAAGAATTATTTTCTATATCTTGGTGTCATTAAAGATGTACATATATATATGAGAAAAATGGAGAACCTTGGTACCAAGTTGCTTAAAGCAACTTGGTAGTGATATGGCCTAATCTTGCCCCTATATCACACCACGAAGTTAGAGCCTCAACCACCCTTCACCAACTCCAATATAGATGTAGGGACAAGATTAAGCCACGTCACTACCAAGTTGCTTGGAGCAACTTGGTACCAAGTTTCTCCGAATAGAAAGTAAAATATAACCAGTAAAGCATTTATATGCGCACAATAATTATTAGACAGTACAGATCAAATAAATGAAAAGGAAGTTAATTATAGAAATCTCACCCTCTATTGAAAATAATATCAGTAAGAACATCGCTCTGGGTACGGGGATCATTAAGAGGTTCAAAGCATTCATGCAACACATCTAGCGCAATATGAAGTTTGCTATGGTACTCGGTAATGGTTTCATCATCAAAATTATCAGCACCATTCTCTTTGTTTGATCTCAAAATAGTCCACGATAAACCTTCTACAGATGTAGGGTTGGATTTTCCAAGCATCTTATGGAAATGATTAAATATCTGCAAATTGGTTAGTAGAATATCTTGAAGCAGCAATAACTTGACTGAAAGGAATACTTTTTGAGACCATCTAACAGGGGAAAAAAATCATAATGCATGTAAAACTTTGCATAAAACAGTAAATAAATAGCTAAAAGTTACAAGTGGAGATGCAATTAAAGAAGGGGCAGAAACAAAATTTTGTTCAAGGGTGTACACCATTATTAAGAAACTTAACTAGTGAAGACTGAAAGACGCTGTAAAAACCCAATTAAAATTCTTAAGAAGAATAATCTCAAATATTTATGATAACAAAAATACTATATTTTGTTGTATCTTTTTTCTCTCTTGTTTATTGAATTGATTAAGTTTTTACTCCAAAATGCACTAAAGCGAAAGAGAAGATGAATTTTCCTTTTTTTATCATATTTTACTTTTTGTATACTTTTAATCCACAAAGGAAAATGAAAGGAATGTTTATTTTACACTTTTGACAATTTGTAGAAGTATTCATCCTCAATCTAAAACTGTCTAGGCATGATAATATTCATAGGTTTTTCTCCAAACTTCTATTCCTAACTAAAGTTGATCTGGATCATTTTGAAATACACTTCTATGGGATTATACATATTCATTTTGTAATATATAAAGATTGAAAAAAGGAATCTTTGATTTAGTATTTTTATTCCTTTAAGAGCTTAGATTTATATTTAAAAAAAGAAATATGTGTGATAAGATTTGGAATCTTGATATCAGCATTAGCCAATTTGGAAGTATCAGTGGTTTCGAATTGAAAGTATTGGATATGGGTATTGAAAATTTAGTCAGTTTTGGTGATTCACATGGTGGTGTCTACATAGATTTCTTTTTATTTCTTTTCTAATACAGCAGTATTTTTTTTAAACTTCAGACCTTCATTATCCTACTATCTTAGCCATATTCAATTACCAATTTATCAATCTGTAGTAGTAGTAGCAATTAGCTGATACTCAGATATCTAACAGTTTCATATTGATCATATTGATATGTTACAATTCGACTAAATATGGTCCACACATTATCTGTATTGAACAATACTTGAAACCTTTGAGACTGACATAAATAACCCTTTGAGACTGACATAAATAACCACCTCCCTACAGTGGGAACTTATCGGGACATGACAAATGCAGCTCAAAAGCAAATCATTGTCTAAGCTCACATTTAAACTATAAACAATTTCTCCTTTTGATGGCTTAAAGGTGTGGCTTGCATCTGTAAGGTGAGATACTACAGTGTTTTGCTCTTTCCTAATTCACTGGTTATGAAAATATATTAAAGAGATGTGAAAACATTGAAAAAGTTTCCAATAAAAGAAGGTACACAACACCATATTAGGTAGATTTAGGTGTTTCTCAGGCCATCATATCGCACAGCCCCTATTTATAGATTATTATTACAATCATAAAATACATGATAAGATTCCAATAATATAACCAAAGGAGTCATCTCTTCCAGGCTTTGTAGTTGAGAATTTATCCTCAATGTAGTAAGGAATTTCTCATTTAAGAGAGATGTCATTTTCTATATTACGTGAAGTACAAAGAAATGCAAACAATATCAGATGTAGCGAGCATTCATGAGCAAAAAATGAAGGTAATTCCTAGAAGCAACACTAGGTGAAATACACATGAAGCAGTAGAAACTTGTTATCCCCACAATGATGTACTATATAACTCTTATGCGGCTTATGCAAAAATGTAGAAAAATACCTTAGTACAACTTTTACTGCAAACCCAGCTGCCAATTGGACAGCTGTTAAGCTGGGATGATTCTTTTTCATTTAAGCAACCCACATGATCTGTTAGAAAATAAATAAAACAAATACGACACCAGTTAAGTTTATCATTAGGACATGTAAGAGTTTATCTGCTTGCATGTTAAGGAGTAAATAAATGACTTACACCCTAGCTCACACTGATCACAGTACAATATTGATTTATCTGTGAACAGATTAGTACCACAGTTGAATTCACTAAGGCCACATATGCAACATCGACAGGATGCACAGTACCAATTTCCTTCAGGCACGCCCTACATTAAACCAAAATTCAAGAGAAAGATAATTATAGTATTATACAATAAATTTCATCTTCTCAAACTTTCATCTCATTTTCAGAATAAATTGAATATGATAGAAACCACAGCAAGATTATTCATAATCATGTTCTGGACAATCGAGAACAAACTGTTGGGAAGTACAAAAAGGAAATAATCATCAGGAAAAATAGAAAAGAAAACTAGGATTTAGAAGATGGAAAGTCAGACGAACCATACAAGATTAACAAAATGTATATCAACAATTTTGAGCGAAATTACGTATTGTTCCCGAGAGGCTAGAAACATTCCTAGTACAAAGTCCAAATGATACACAAGGAAATGAGCTAAAAAATGTACCTCTAAACCAACGCAATCTGGATGGAAAGCTGATGGACAGTGATCACAGAGCAGTAGCTCACCACCATCAAAGCAGACAGAGCATTCAGAGTCACCTTCATACTGGGAGCAATTCCTCTTTAATCGTACTCGTCGGACATATTCAGGCTTAGCAAGTGCTTCTTGCAATTGATATTCTAACAAGGACTTTCCACCTCGAAAGATTATGCTGGCAGCAGGTTGGGAAGTGCTGCAACCAGCATGTGCCTCAAAGTTGACAAGACTGAACACCTTATGACAACAGCTGCACTTAAATCCATCATGAGTTACTCTCCCATGTTTTATAGGACAGCCATCTGTTTTACGAATGTAGGTTATCTTTTGCTGTGGTAATATCACACCTTTGTCAATAAGCCAAGACAAAACTGTTTTACTAATCCGTTCAGTAGTGGCAGGTTCTACAAGTCGTGGTCTTTTCCTGGCGTCCACTGACCATGATGAAAATCTGCTGTTTGATCTCCTCTGCTGCTTAGTATAAGCTCCCGTCTTCATTTTTCTTTTTTGTTTGTTACTAGAAAATTCACCTGATGGTTGCGGGACCAATTTATTGCATACCTTTGCAGATTTAGAGTCGGTGCTTCTGGTAGACTTCTCAGAAGATTCATTTTGAGAATCTTGCAAGAATCCCTTACATGCTCTATAAAGAGAAATATAGTTTTTCCCATTGGGCGAGGTATAAACTAACTCCTTCTTCATTTTCTTGTCTTTCATCCACAAGTTCCAACCCGTTTTCTTAAGATGCTTCTTTGCATTTTCTATCGATGCTTTATCTTTCTTTCGTTTTCCATTTTCTATGACATCGACATATTTTTGTATTGCTTCTTTTGGATTCCCTTCTGTTAGGCCCACCTTACGAGAGACATTGTCTGAAAACATAGTTTGTTTCCCTGAAGGAGAAGAGCTACCACTAGAAGATAATCGTCCATTAATGCCTGCAGAAGTAGAGAACAACAAAGAATGAAAACAAGATAAACCTTCTGAATCTGTCAGTTTTGTGGTATCTATGGAGTCTTCAGTGCACTTATTTTGGAAAGAGTCATCTCCATCAGGTGCCAGTAGCCCAATGTCCATATTAGAAAATTCTGCATGATTTTTGTTAGTATTTTTGTGCTTGGAGTAGCCTCCCTTGCAGCTTTCATTTCTCTGCTTTCCGTCCATCAAATCATAGCAGACCTTATTAAGGGAATAGTAGCAGTTATTTCCATCAGGTGACAGATAACGGTACCTTTGAATTGTGTCTCGTTTAAATTCAATCCTCCAACGCTGATGCACAAGATGCTTTCGCAATTTCTCAGTGTTATGATTGTTTTTTGTGCTTCTGCCACACTTGATGTAACTTGCACATATTGATTCTAAATCTGTACAATATACAGGTTGAAATACTACAGGTTTCCATGATTCTTCATTTTGGGATGATGAGTCTTCATTTTGGGATGATGAGCAGCCTTCCACTTCATAGTTCAAATCTGAATCATCTGTCTGGAAACCATTAAGAGCATTGTTGCCAGACCATTAGAATTAAAAAAAAGGGAAGAGCATTAACTAAATTAGGAATGCTTGTTCCCATGAGAAATATAGCATATTAGCAACTGTTGGATTAAATATGATACCAAATTGTTTAAAAGAACTATTGGAGCAGTTCTAATGCAAAATGGAAGACCTATTGATTATGCCAGCTCTGTATTAAAAGGGAAGAGTTTGAGCTTATGTAACTCCGCCAGTGTTGCGCTAGATTGTTTATCTTTTCACTGCCTGTTCCAAGCAAGGATATAGGAGGGTTGTGTTGAGTAGCCGACAGCCAATGTGAAACCTACTTCGATCTCTATGTGCACCAATTAGGAGGAGTAATAAGGCTATAATTAATGGAGAAAGGAGTAGAGGTAGGCCTAAGACAACTTGAGTAGAGACCATTAAGAAGGATATGATGATGCTTACTTTAGTGGAGGAGATAGCCTTCAACAGAACAGAATAGAATAGATGGACTCATATAGCTCGCCCCAAATTTTTTAGATAAAGGCTTTGTTGTTGTTGTGGTTGTTTATCTACTTGATGAGAAAAATTTTATGATCGAAACTTATCATTAGAGCCTTTTAACATTTATTGGAAAAAAGTCAATACGGAACAAGTAGTTTTGTATGACTTTGATTATAGAGTGAAGTATAAATCTCAAAGGCTCAATAGGGCTACTTATGGGTTATTAAGAAATGATGATAGTGGTGGGCATTGATTGAAGGGTAAGAGAATATTTTTATGCGCTATTATTAGTGTGCACAGTTGGCTGTCTGATATTTATGAAATGGTGTCAAAAGATCCATAGTTCCACGACTTGGACCCCAAATTGTCTCAAGGAGAACTGGAAGAAGGAAAGTACAATAAAGATATGGAAGTATACTGCTAAAAGAGAAAAATCCTCATTGCTCCTACACCTCATTACCTCAAGCGGAAACTTCTTAAAGCACAATAAAATATCCCCAATGTTTGTCACGCTGGAGCAATTGAAACTTTTCATAAATTGAAAAGAAGTTTCTATTAGGTAGGAGTGGAGATATATCCAGGGTGATCATGAAGCTTGTAATATCAATAAAAAAGCTAAAGGGAAGAATGTGGCTACTCCTGGACTAAGCCAACCTTACCAATATCTGAACAGACTTAGGACGATGTTGCGATGGATTTCACAGAACAATGTGTTCTTAGTGGTAACGGATTGGTTAACCGAGTATGTACACTTCTTTCCGCTATCTCATCCCTAATCAGCTCAACTGGTTGCACAATTCCTTTTTGATGTGGATTCAAGTTAAATAGGCTGTAAAAGCTGAAGAAGTGGCGAGAGAAGTTCAGAAAATCAGCAAGAATTAGCCATGCAGACTGGCGGTCGACCGTGAGTCAGCGGCGGTCGACTGTGAACATGCACATGAGAGCAGAGGCTCTAGAGCTGAAGGCGGTCGACCGTGGCGGTCGATCACGCGGATCCTGTAGGCGATTTAACTCTCGGGAATTGATTCGGTCGACCGTTGCGGTCGACTGTGAGTTTCCTGTAATCAATTTATTCTCTGTCGAGGGTGTTCAGTCGACCGTCGCGGTCAACCGCGATACCTGCACGGTCGACCGTCACGGTTGACCGCGTAGCGGGTTTGTAGTTGGGTCAGTTATTTGACCCGGTTCGTTTTGGAGCTGATATATAACTCTAATCCTGATTCGTTAGGGTTAAGTAAGGACGTTTTTGAGCGTCTTTGGGAGAGAATTGCTGCATCCAATTGTGAGAGATTTGTGAAAAATCTAGAGCTTTGTTTTAGGGTTTGATCGATGAGATTTGTAACTCTATTTATATTTTCTTGATTTCTAATAGTAAGAACTCCCCCCTCCTTATCCCGTGGTCGTAGACAACTTGCCGAACCACGTTAAATCCGTTGTTTTGCTGTGATATTGTGTTTGGCTTATTAGTTGTGATTTATCTCTTGTTCTTGTTCTTGTTCGTGTCACTTCGAGGCTTCCGTCACGCACAACAATTTGTATCAGAGCTTCAGGCTTATTCGAATGATTCGGTGAAGAATTCCTATCTGAAGAGTTAGATCGACAATATGGGAGAAGCAAGCACATCAGGTTCGTTTCTTACGAAGACGATACAGAGTCTGAGCATCAATAACACGAAGATTGATGTTCCGAAGTTCGACGACAAGATTAATTTCGGATTATAGAGGTATCAGGTAATGGACGCATTGGATGTACAGAATTTGGAGGAGACTCTTGAGTTACAAGAGAAACCCGAAGGCATGGAGGATAAGGTTTAGAAGAAGATGAATAGTAAAGTTTGTGGAATTATTCGGTCATGCTTGACGCCGGATCTTATTTATGATGTTATGAACAAGACGTCGACGAAGAGAAACACTCAATGAGAAGTATCTTACTAAGAGCACGACTTCACTTGAAGAAGAGGTTTTACCAGTTAAAGATGAAGATGAGAGTTTTCATCAGGGAGCATGTCAATAATTTCACAAAGCTACTTTCAGATATGGTCAATGTGGATATCATGGTTGAGGATGAAGACAAGACGATGTTACTTTTGTGCTCGTTGCCGAAAGATGATTATGGTACGTTCGTTTTAACTATGATCAATGGAAGAACTACTGTTAGCTATAAGGAGGTAGCCTTATCTTTGGTGAATTATGAGTTAAGGAAGAGTGATGGTGAACCCTCCGAGAAGGCATCGGGAGATGCATTAGCTGTTCGAGGCCGAGATCCAAACCGTCGTCAGTTTAACCGCTCAAAGTTAAATAATAGGAGTGCCTATAAGAGTGTTGGTAGAAACCAATGTTGGTATTGTAAAGAAGAAGGACATTGAAAGATTGACTATCCAAAGTGAAAGGAAAAAGCCGGGAAGAACAAATGAAAAGTTGTACAAGCTTCAGAAGTGAATGTTGTAAAAGCTATTGATGAGCATTCAGATTCAGATTCTTCGGGCTATTCGTGTCCTGCACTACCGTCGGTTTGCTATGCTGATTTCACGAAGTGGATGATGGATTCGGGAGCTACATATCACATTTGTCCTAGGAGGGATTGGTTCTCCAGCTTTGAAGAGTTGGAAAGAGGGGATATCGTGCTTATGGGTAATGATCGTGTATGCCCTATTAGTGGTATAGATTCAGTTCGGATTAGGATGCATGACAGAGTGATTAGGGAGTTAAAGGAAGTAATGTTCGTGCCGCAATTGACGAAGAACATCATTTCTCTTGGGACTTTGAAGGCAGATGGATATAGAGTGATCTTAGAGGATGCTACAATGAAGATCACGAAGGGTTTTATGATGGTGATGCCAGGTGTCAGGAAAAATAACCTATACTATTTGAAGGGCAAGACAGTTACAGGGGGTCTGACAGCTTCTATCACTACAGAGGAGGACACTACCACTTTATGGCACATGAGACTTGGACATACAGGTGATTAAGTTCCTACAGTCATTGGTAAAATATGAGCTATTGAAATGTGCTAAGACCTGCAAGATGGAGCTGTGTGAGCATTGTGTACTTGGAAAGAAGACTAGAGTGAAGTTTGATACCGTTGTTCCTAACATCCGAGATACATTAGATTACATTCACATAGATATTTAGGGTCCTTTTAAGAACACATCTCTTGGTGGGACCGATTATTTTGTCACTTTTATTGATGATTATTCCAGGAGGAATTGGGTATACCCTATGAAGCATAAACATCAGGTCCTAGATATTTTTGTGGAGTAAAAAAAAAGTGGAGCTGCAGACAGGTAGAAAGGTGAAGACTCTACATTCAGATAACAGTGAAGAATACAGGAGTGATCCATTTCTACAATTTTATCAGGATCACGGCATTAGAAGACACTTCATAGTTCAAGAGACACCGCAATAGAACGGGGTGGTTGAAAGATTGAACCGTATATTGCTGGAGAAGGTACGATGTATGATGACATAGAGGGGATTGCATAGATCTTTTTGAGCCGAGGTGTTGGTTTATGTGAGCTATCTTATGAATATGTTGTCGTGTATTGCGATAAACGGGAAGACTCCTTTGGAATGTTGGTTTGGTTCGGTGGCTAGTGACTATGAGTCGCTTCGGATATTTGGATGTCCAGCTTATTACCATGTCAGTGATGGTAAATTAAATCCGAGGGCGAGAAAAGCTATCTTTGTGAGATTTGGAGATAGCGTTAAATGCTTCAAGTTATGGGATCCACAGGACACGAAGATAGTTATTAGCAGAGATGTCACATTCGATGAGGCATACATGATGAGGCACCGAGTCTCTCAGCAAGTGAAGGGAGACCAAACAGTTGAGATATCGTAGCAGGTGGAGGATGATGTGAATCCACCCACTCCAGATAGCATTGTATCCATCGAGGCTCCTACAAAGGTAACACTGGGAGGAGATAAGATGATAGCCAGGCAGATAGAGGATACAGTGGATGATAAGACTCAGGAATAGAGTCATGTTCAGGAGTCCATTACAGCAGATAGACTGAGGAGGGTGATTCGTCGGCCAACTAGGTATAATGATGTCATGATCGCATATGCATTATCTGTGGAGGTCGTTGATGATATGATTCCATCCACATTCAGGGAGGCAGAGTCTAGTCCCAATTCAATCAGGTGGAGGGAAGCTATGGAGGAGGAGATGCGATCTCTTTAGAAGAACAACACTTGGAAACTTGCAAAGCTACCTAAGGGTAAGAAAACTATTAGTTGTAAGTGGGTATATGCGAAGGAGTGATCTTCTATTGGGGATATTCGGTTCAAAGCCAGATTGGTTGCCAAGGGATATACACAGCTTGAGGGCATTGATTACAATGATGTATTTTCACCCATTGTGAAGCATTCGTCGATTCAAATTTTATTGGCGTTAGTGGCACAATTGGATTTGGATTTGGTCCAGATGGATGTAAAGACAACTTTTCTACACGGAGATTTAGATGAGGAGATCTACATGACACAACCCTTAGGATTCAAAGTTACAGGAAAAGAAGAATTGGTTTGTAAGCTGAAGAAGTCTCTTTATGGTTTGAAACAGTCATCAAGACAGTGATATAAGAGATTCAAAGGCTTTATGATTGGCCGAGGGTACACAAGGAACCCATATGACCCATGTGTTTATATGCACAAGCTACATGATGGTGAGCACATATATTTGCTTTTATATGTTGACGATATGCTTATTGTTTTTAGGAATTCTTCGGCTATTCGAAAGTTAAAAGATGAGCTGTCATCCGAGTTCGAGATGAAGAATCTTGGAAAAGCAAAGAAAATATTGAGTATGGAGATCGAGAGAAATAGGATGAAGGCGAGATTAAAGCTTACACAGAAGAGCTATTTGCAGAATATGTTAAAGAAATTTAGCTTTGAGGGCAATGCAAAAGTAGTTAGCACACCATTGGCTCCCCACTTCAAGCTTTCAACATTGATGTCGCATGTTTCAGTTGAGGACAGAGATTATATGTCGAAGATCCCATATGCCAGTGCAGTAGGTAGCTTGATGTATGCGATGATGTGTATGAGGCCAGATTTATCACAGGACGTGAGCATGGTATCGAGATACATGCATGACCCCGGGAAGGGTCATTGGGAGACCGTGAAGTGGATTCTATGGTATGTTAGAGACACCGTGGATGTTGGTTTGGTATTCCAGAAGGATGAGAAGAATGGGCAGAATTATATTGGTTACGTGGATTCAGATTATACTGGAGATCTTAACAAGCGCAGGTCTACTTCAGGTTATGTGTTTACATTGGCAGGTGCATCGGTATGTTGGCGATGTACATTTTAGTCCACAGTGGCTCTCTCTACTACATAGGCGGAGTATATGACGGTGACTGAGGCTGTTAAGGAGGTTTTGTGGCTGCAGGGATTATTGGATGACTTGGGGATCGCACATGAAACCATTCGGGTGTTTTGTGATAGCATGTCGGCTATCTATTTGGCAAAGAACTAGGTTTATCATGCGCGCACGAAGCACATCGATGTCAGATTCCATTTTGTTCGTTTTGTTCGTGATGTTTTGGATGATGGAGACGTCATATTAGAGAAGGTCCACACAAACGATAACCCTGCAAATATGATGACCAAAGTTGTTTCAGGTGTGAAATTTGGTCATTGTTTGAAGCTTTTGAACATTCTTCAGTGTTGAGGCATTTGGAGGCCATTTGGGTGAACTACGTTCGGCTTAATTCATTGGGCAAGAGGATACGTGGGCAGTCTTTCAAAGCAGCCGGTTTGATTCAGATGGGGGGAGATCGTTTCAGCTCACGCTTGGTTTCCCGACTTGTTGTGGATTGAGTCCGTTGTCGTGGGGTGTTTTCACGACGTCCTAGATGCAACAAGTGGGACATTTGGATGATTTGGTGTCGGCTCAGTTTTGGTAAAAACATTCGTCGAGGTGGAGAATTGAAGAAGTGACGAGAGAAGTTCAGGAAATCAGCAAGACAGACTGGGGGCGTCGACCGGGCGAGTCAGGGCGACGGTCGACCGGCGAACATGCAGCAGGAGAGTAAGACTGGAACTGAAGGCGGTCGATCGTGACGGTCAACCGCGCGGACCCTGTAGGCAATTTAACTCTCGGGAATTGGTTCGGTTGACCGCCGCGGTCGACTGTGGGTTTCCTGTAATCGATTTATTCTCTGTCGGGGGTGTTCGGTCGACCGTCGCGGTCGACCGCGATACCTGCACCGTCGACCGTCACGGTCGACCGCGTAGCGGGTTTGCAATTGGGTCAGTTATTTGACCCGGTTTGTTTTGGAGCTGATATATAACTCTAATTCTGATTAGTTAGGGTTAAGTAAGGACATTTTTTAGCAGTCTTTAGGGAGATTTGTGAGAGATCTAGAGCTTTGTTTTAGAGTTTGATCGGTGAGATTTGTAACTCTATTTGTATTTGTGAGAGATCTAGAGCTTTGTTTTAGAGTTTGATCGGTGAGATTTGTAACTCTATTTGTATTCTCTTGATTTCTAATAGTAAAAACTCCCCCCTCCGAGATTTGTAACTCTATTTGTATTCTCTTGATTTCTAATAGTAAAAACTCCCCCCTCCTTGCCCCGTGGACGTAGGCAACTTATCAAACCACGTTAAACTCGTTGTCTTGCTGTGGTATTGTGTTTGGCTTATTAGTTGTGATTTATTTCTTGTTCTTGTTCTTGTTCTTGTTCGTGTTGCTTCGAGGCTTCCGCCGCGCACAACAAAAGCTACAGTAAGTGATAGAGATACTTCCTTTGCAAGCTTCCTCTAGAAATTTGTTGAAAAACTGCAAGGCAGTCGCTTGAAAGTCATCATTACCTCTCATCCCCAACGGATAGGCAAATGGAGATGCTTTTATCGTCACAATTCCACACACACACGCGCACACGCGCGCGCACAAAAAAAAAGAAGAAAGAATTAAGTTACTTGAGATTAGGCAAGTTCTAGCATATTACAACTTGGAAAGCTCCAACTAAGATGACTTGAATCCTACAAGTCTACACATGGTAGGAAACCCCCTGATTCCTTTACCACGTCGAGAACTATCAAGGTACATGTATCATATTAAACATGGGTTAATTATTGAAATTTGATCAAGAGATTCTGCCTTTGGCCTTGAGCATATATATGAACTGAACAATTACTTTTTTGCAGTTCCGCTCTAATTTTGTAATTAACAAATATAACAGGGGTTAAATGTAAAGCAGAAAAAGAGCATGAAGCAGTGCCACACTACAATTGCATGTGACACCCTAAACACAGTATTGTTGATTCTCCATGAAAATTTCCCAAATTTCAATAAAACTCCCCAAATTTCCTCTCCAAAACCTTAAAGGCAGGGTTTGATCTCGAGAGAACTCAGATTGTGGTTATGACGAGAATCTAAGAACCATGGCCGAGAGCCAAAACCCTCAACAATGAGAATGCAGTAATCGCATTGTAAACTAAAAGGAAGAGATTCGAAGTACCTCGTTTTGCTTTTCTTGAAACGATCTCTTCCTCCTTTTCCTGCTCCTCAATTCATCGTCAAACTCCATTGATAGAAAGTTTCGTCCTTTTTCTTTTTATTTTATTTTAGTTATTTTGGGGTTCAGAAAAAAAAAATTGCTGCCAAATCCAGGAGACGAGGAGAATCTATAATTTATAATAATTTAGGAAAATTTTTGACTCGTTAGGAGTCCTAGATAATTGATTTCTTTAATCATTAACTTGGTATCCTGAAAGGTTTAGGGTTTAATCCATCCAGTTGTCAATCAAACGGCTTACCTTGTTTTAGAAGTCTTTAATTTTTCTTCAGAAAACAGCCCCCACCTTCTTAACTTTTGGCGATTATTAGAAAACCCCATTAACTTTCAAAATATCAGAAAATTTCCTTAAATTTAGGTGTTATTAAGAAACCCCCTTTGACTTTAAGGTTCTATGACAAAACCCCCCTAACATTGTCATCCCTTATTATCCCAAATTTTCGGTGAACAAAAAATACTCCCCAATTGGGATTTCAACCGCACGTGATAGAAAAATAAAAAAAAATTAGCTTAACACATCAATTTGATTTCTTGTAGAAAAACTCTCTAATTTCTTGAAGAAAAACTCTCCCACTGAAAATCCCTACCGGGGGTAACCTTATTTGCTGATAATTTGGGATAATTTCAACCGCACGTGATAGAAAAATAAAAAAAAATTAGCTTAACACATCAATTTGATTTCTTGTAGAAAAACTCTCTAATTTCTTGAAGAAAAACTCTCCCACTGAAAATCCCTACCGGGGGTAACCTTATTTGCTGATAATTTGGGATAATTTCAACCGCACGTGATAGAAAAATAAAAAAAAATTAGCTTAACACATCAATTTGATTTCTTGTAGAAAAACTCTCTAATTTCTTGAAGAAAAACTCTCCCACTGAAAATCCCTACCGGGGGTAACCTTATTTGCTGATAATTTGGGATAAT